TCGTCTTACCCAGGGCGCAGATGTAGTTTATCGTCTTACCCAGGGCGCAGATGTAGCTTATCGTCATACCCAGGACGGCTTCGCAGCTAAAAACAGATGAACTGTACAGTCGATTCTTTCTTGGAATCGTTAGATAATATATGAGCCATTTTTTCGGCGGATTTGGATTGTTTTCCCACCGTCCTTGCTCTTGAGGAAACTTCTTAAAGCAGCTGTCTTTTGGCATTTCGAAGCAGTCTGCAACATCTAAGATGGTGTTCGTCTAATACGTCTCTTTTCCATATCCCAGATTTAGTCGTCAATCCCACCTACCTTTTGTATCGACTTCCATTAATCTCTATGACGGAGACAGGAGCTAATAACCTGATGGCTATATAAGCTATGGCTGGCTATATAATCTATGGCAAGTTATAAAGTTAATATCCGATGATTAATTTCTCTATGCTTATTTGAAATAATTACCTTTCCATAAATGCTGATGTTAAACTTTTTACCTGACATTAACTGTACATTTCTAAACAAACCAATTTCCTCTGTTGTGCAGTATTTTTAAACCATTGATGTGTATTTAATTATTTAGCGTACGTTTATGTGATTCTCTGAAAAGATCTCATTCTGAAAAGAACACTTGTAAAGATTTTGAGAATTCGCCATATAGTCTGTCTGGCCTGGAACATTTCAACACCCACCTTGAATGTGATTCAGAAGTGTTTTTTTATATTTTCTTAAAGTCTACTCTTTTCGGGTAAGTATTTTATTTTAATCTGTTACATTGAAATAGTTATTTCCTTTCCTTCAACAAGAAACTAATTATTTGTATTTTCTTCTTTTTAAATTAAATTTTCTGTTTTCATAGAACTATTTAGTGGTTGAAACAGTTGAGATACTGCGATCTGAACAGTGTCCTCAAAGATTTCCCCCATGAATAATGACTGGATGATCACAATCTTGCCGGTAGAAAATGATCTTTGTAGACATTCCGGTTTTATGTCACTGATAGTTCGTGTTACTAAACAGTATAAGATCAAAAACAGAATGCTTGCAATGAAAGATATCTGGCGTATACTACAGCAACATGATTTACCCAGCTTAAGAATTGTTATTAAAGTCGGGTCTTTATCCATGTGTGTTCAGGTTGTGGATGGGCGATTATGGCTCTCTAAAAATTCATCTCCGTTTTAGCTCTAAGCAACACTTTACGTTACCTTTAACACAAACAATTTTGATAGGATACAAAATGAGTGTTACGTTTGTCAAGATTATTTCCTTTTATTTCGTCCCACAATTTCCTTTATTGTTTTTTTATAATCGAATTTTCCTTGGACTTAAATTATTTTTTTGTTAAATTCATTCGTCACTATCATGTTCAGTCTGTGATATTTTTGGCATTTATCTGTAGAATATTATCTCTGTCGCGTGAAATTCCTTCTTCAGCCATTTAGAAATTATTCATCATAAATGACATATCGGCTGTTAGCTTTTGTTTGGTTTGGTTATTTTGTTTAATGGGATATCATCCTAAATGGGTTATTTAATACCGACAAGATTTTTAGGTTAGTTTAGTATGGATAGAATATGTATGTTTTGTAAAAAAAAAAAAAAAAACAGTTTGTACATCAGGTTTCATTGATGTATTTTCTACTGAGGATTTTTGTCAAATGTATTGCTGTTATTTTTTCTCTAACATTTATTCCTGTTATTTTAATAAAAATACTTATTTTTATATAATATAGTTTTGACTCCACATATATATATATATATATATATATATATATATATATATATATATATATATATATATATATATATATATATATATATATATATATATATATATATATTAAAATAAAAGAGAAGGAACAGTAAGATTTATAATCCGGTGTTCTTTTTAATTGTTTTTTTTTTTATTTTGAAAAACAGTGCTCAATACAATTTTTGCAGAACATTTCAGAGCATAAATAGATACCAAAATTCACTTAAAAATGAAACAGTACTAAGGATTTTAATTTAATTCTATAATTTATAATTAATTCTATAATTAAATTTTAAGATTCTATTAATTCTATAATTAAATTTTAAGATTTAGTTTCTGTTTTTGAAACGTGTTAATTCCTGTGTAGCGATGAAATAATATTTTAAATGAGTAAATTCATAATATATATATATATATATATATATATATATATATATATATATATATAAGCTCAAACACTAATATTCCATGTGTATAAATTACTACACTGGAATTGTAATCACGAGCCAATTCATCAGATGTTTGATGAATTGGATCTTAATTACGATTCCGATATACTAAATTATAACCATGGAATATTAGTGTTTGAGCCTTTCATATTATATTCTTGCTCTGTCCTGGACATTGAGCTCTATCTGTATTCCATCTCTTGGAAATATATATATATATATATATATATATATATATATATATATATATATATATATATATATATATATATATTTTCTTGAATGTGTATGGTTTCCCGCTCTAATAATTAGAAATAAATTATGATGTATTTGTCTTGTTTTATTTCGACAGATGACAAAAAGAGAATATAAAAATTGCGTTGCAACTTACCAATCTCTATCGCCTAAAAAATATAATTCTTTAAAAAGTATCTTGAATTTAAACACTAAGTAATGGGTTCTCCTCGGCAAAGGAAACAAGTATTATGCGTGACAAATTGCATGTATCTCGTTGGAACTCCATCAATGTTTTCGTTTTAATTCTCTCGCGTGATAAGTACGCGTATTTTCATACAGCTTCCCACAAATGTCGATGACTGAAATAATCTAGAGCAAGTACATATACGAGAAAATTCCTACGATGTATCTGTAATATTATCGGTCATGACCGAGCCTCGTGATTTCAGTCATTTTTCCATAACGTTGCTTGCCTGTGCCTTTTCTATAAATATCTTAATGGTAATTTTTCCTGATTAGCTTTTCTTCCTTGGTATCTAGACTTTACGAATTAAAGCTCACCAGTAGATCTCATGTATCATGCATGACACATAACTGATTGGTCCTTAAATGTATCCTTCTTTTTCTCATGTCTACAGTCAAATCACTTTGAAATACCGGTTACCGCCAGATCACCGATGTTAAGCAACGTCGAATCTGGCTAGTACCTAGATGGGAAACTGCTTAAGCTTGGATGTGCGGGAGGTGTAATGGACAATAGTCCGATATTGTTAAGCGGAGATCTGAGTTCCACTCGGGCTGGATCCGTTATATTCACTTACAGTGAAATTAACTTGAGTAAGGTAAGAATCCACCTCTCTTCTCTAGAGCTTTGGGGTTAATAAATAAGACTCGTATCGCTAAAACCTAAGTAAAAAAAAATAGAATCTGGCTTTAAAACCCTGAAAAGGGTTGATAAGCTGTAGAAGCCGAATTAATTAATCTTTCTCTCATATTATTTTACAATCAGTACCCACTTTTGTCTTAGGGGCTTTAATACCTTGCTTTGGGTGAAATGATTAAAGCAAATGTGATATATAAAGAAAATGAACCGTTTTCTTATTTGAAAAATTAAACCTTTCACGAAGTATTTTCTAAATTATCTCAATTTTTTTTGACAGTTTTCTTAGCTTTTATTCTAGATTTTCCAGAGGATATCATTTGATAGATTTAATATTTCTGTTCTTTTGTCAATTTAACCCTCGAATTGCGTCTCTTACCGAGCAATTCATAAATCTGGGGATATCTCTCCAAGAAACGAACAATTATATTTCCTATTATTGGCTTCTTTCTTTTTTTTTTCGTATGTTTTTTTTTTAATTTTACATTCCTTTTAGAATTTTGAATTCTAGAAATGTGTGAAAATTTATCTGATCCTCCTCACAAATTTATCTGATCCTCCTTTTTGTTTACACAATTTTATGTTATTTTTTTTCATTTTTTTTTCTTTAAATGCCAAATCTATAGAAAAAGCAGAATTTGGACATTAGGATCCAGGTGCTTTTCTTTGTCACATAATAAATTCTATCACCTAATAAGCATATTTTCTGAAATCAATACCTCTTACAGTGTGAACTACAACAACACTTTATTCTTGGGTGTAAACTTTCCTTCTGAATCTATGTACATTAATTGCTATCTTCTAAGATCTGGAATATACGGCTTTAATATACAAATTCATACTTAGAAACCAAAGCTCGTAACCACTGATGCAATATGCACATTTATATTATCAAGACTCCACTTGCTAATTCACAGAACTGGCGATGTTCCATAAGTATTATTGAATGTTGTAAGCAATCTCTTTCCACACGCATCGAAGGAAATAAATTAAACCGTCAGCCCCAGAGACCTTCGCGTTTGCCCGTTATACTGCCAAGGAGTAACGATAGAATCTTGCACTAAAAGGCAGGGCCGCTCTTACGATATTTGGGACCGGGCCACTAAAAGACGTAACATTCCATTTGAAGAAAAGGTAGCGATGCATATGAAGAAGCCCACGGTGTTAAGGATCACAGCACGGCAGCCAACAGCAAAAGAAAATTGTGTGTTCTTGACTTGTGGAAATAAGGAATGGCTCAGGTGTCTGGAAAGTTTTGTAAACTTACTATGAGCCTAACCCCATTAACTCGAAAAGTCGAAGATCGCGCTAACATCCGCCGGCAAAAATATTTGGGAATATTGAATGCAGTTGACGATGTCGGCTGGGATCATGGGAGAGAAAGCCTGATGTCATGGAGGGCCTAAACATTCTGTGACCTCAGAATATACGTCAATGATGAAGAATTCTGGTGTTCAAGATCCGCGTATAAAACGAATGGAAAAATTTACCAGTACAAGCACAATGCCTAAATACAGTTTAACTACCGGACATTAAGTATAACAGATATTATGCCTACAGGCACAATGCCTAGTGGACATTATGGCTATAAATTTAGAAATTTAATAGAATTATGCATAAAAAAAAGGTTTATTATGCAAAATATTAAAAACTTATAAAAGTTTGCCTTAGGAACATTGGCTTACGGCCATATGACTTTGAAACACCGATTCCCGTACTATCACCGAAGTTAAGCAACTTCGCACCTGGTCAGTACCTAGATGGGTGATCGCTTAGCAATATAGTATTGCAAGCTTGGATCTACGGGTGGTGTAATGAATACTGCTTCTTAATCGTTAATAGGTGAGCCGAGTTCCAATTTCATTTACGTTCGTTATATTCGCTTAAAGCGCAAATACAAGAATGCCTCGATTAATGCGCATTTGATTAATTCGTTTTCGATTAGTGCGCTAAACACATTTTATACCAACATTCGATTAGTGGTGCATAATAATCGATTAGTGCGGTAAAACAATCCTCCGTTTAACCATAGTAATTGAAAATTGATTTTTATACGTAACGCTTAATTAAAGATTTTCTAAAATTTAGAAATGAAAAATAAGTAATTATTTGTGTTATTAGTGTTATCTAAGTAATTGCAGTTGTGTTAAAAAGGGGACGGTTTTAAATAGATAAATTTTATAATATAAATCGATAAGAAAAATACATATTTGAATAGTAATATGTATTAAAACTTTTGGAAAATTTTTCATTTTTTCATTTTTGTTTTGAAGATCTTAAAAGGAAATTTTTGAAATTTTGTAAAAAAATGGACGATTTAATTAGATACAGAAATATACATTTATTAAAACATATCGATATAGAAAAAAATGTATGCATTGACTATGAAAATATTTTAAATAAAACCTTACAGGTTAAAACAATACTGATTGTGATAAGTTTGAAAACATTCCAAAAATAGAAAATATAAATAATATAGATAAATAACATAAATTAAAACTATTAAACTAGGCGCCAGAATCGCCGATTTAAACCCTATTGAAAATATATGTAAATTAATGAAAAGAAAATTCGAAGGCAAAGTCTTTAAAAATATCGATTAATTAAGAGAAGACATAGATATTTGGAATAACATCGATGAAAAAATTAATTTCTAAGATAATTATAGGAAGAACAGTAGAATAGCATGCGGCAAAACACTCTAAATAAATGTTTCAGAAAAAATCAGTTTAATAAACATAAATTCATACATTTTTATTGTTTCTTCTCATATGTACCTATATTTTAATTTTAAAATACGTATATTAGAAATTAATTGAGTTAGACTAAAATTTGTTGTACAGATTACATCATTTCCTATAAGTCTTTATTCCTATAATAATTCATTTTTTTTAGTTATTTTATTTCTTTTTTTTTCGTAAATCTGAAGTTCTTTGTTTCCAATGGATATTAGGCGTAGTTTATTTTAATTAATAATTATTGAATCAAATACCACACATAAAACCCTATCAGGACTTAGTTGAAATGGTGGAAGTTCTAAATTAACGAATAACTGTTTTATTCCGTCAGCAGGCTGCCAATGCCAAATTATCTTGATCAACTGTAAGTGACTAACAGGTTCAGCATACGAGTTCAGCTTCAAATTTGTATTTTTATCCTGTCCTTTAATCAATTACTTCGTTTAATCTACTGGGAGATTGGAAAGTAACTCCCTATTTTATGTATGATGAACTCTCCCGTATTGTAAAAAATATAGACGAGAGAATCCATCATAGATAAGATGGTGAGTTACTTTTCAATCACATTGTAATAAAAAAAATACATTATACACCCACACACGAGGGTCATCTCGAGGCGGTGTAATGGTTAACAAGCTTGTCTCACTAGAACAATTACGTTGAATAGTGAGTTCGATCCTTAGTGCCTCATTCATTCGGCCTTGTGACACGTCTAAGCTACGCTTGGAAAATCACTACACCTACCCAAGAGCGGTCTTACCTTGCTAAAATTGGTAACGGTTAAGGTTTTCTGAAATGTTTTCATTTGTTTTCTTTCCTATAGTATTCAAGGATGTGCAATTCGACGTGTGATTAACGACCTTACTGTTAGAACATTTACGACTGAGAAGTGAGTTCGATCCTCACTAGGTGTTCCCTACTTTCGGCAGTTTGCTTCATTTAACCTTCGCTTAGAGGGCACGTCAACTAGGTAGAATATTATCTCTAATGCTCACAATGCGTTTGTCAACCAACTGATGACTTAAAATAGTTCCAACAATACGGACATCAATAATTCTTGATTCGAATCGAAATAACAAAGTAGAAACTCTAGGATTAACGATGTTAAAATTGACTCGGATTCATTCGTTATTTTCTGGAATATTTGCTTGTAAAAAAGATTAAAGAACAGACAAAACACTGTACTCTGCCTGCATAAAACGTTCTGGTTATCACATCTTTCTCTTTCACAATTTGTATGCTCAGTTTGTCATTCATTAACATAACTATTTAGTAAATTTTCACATGGCCTTTGATGAAAACGCTTCCCAGTAAGAATTGGCTTAGATTTTCTAGATATTATTGATTAAAAAGAAGACACTTGTACTGAATGAACTAAACTATAAGAAATAGAAATACAAAGATTTACGTAATAATTATACAAAATATCGCTTAACACAAAGCTCTCGGAACCACGTAATATAGAGGGTTACTTTAAAAACTATTTCAATATATTTGAGTTGGCTAGATGTTACTGTGAAAATCTTTGCTAACAGTCTCATTCCTCTCACTTCTCCCTTCCGACACCATGATTTATAAGCTAACTATAATCTTCTAAAATCTATATTCAATGGCAATCGCTATCTACAGTCCTCCTGATTACTCTTTGTTTCTCGGTCATTTGTAATGCTTCTGTCTCTAGCGGCACCCAGTAACTTCTTGTGTCTTAGTGGCTTTACTAACTTGCATGCGGTGAACTCGATTTTAAAAAAATGTTATGTATAGAAGATTAGTTAAAATTATAAGAAAAGAAAGTGATAACACTTGACTGATTTGGAAGAGGGTAAAATTGTAATCTCCAGGGATCTAACCACAGGCAGATTGATTGATATAGTGGTAGTGCTTGTGTACACAGTGACAACTCATCATCATTCGATTTGTATTTCTTTGGTAAGGCGGAAGTTGATCTTAGCTTCTTCATTTTCTGGTAAGTATTCTTTCTCGACGACTACAATTTTAACCTATTCAAGTCCAGAGTCCACGGGTATTTTCCGGGAAATTCTTATAATACGCCCCCGCAACTTCCTTTTTCCATTCCTCCCTATAAAACAATCTGATTCAGTAAGCCTTTATTTTGAGTAGATTTTTGGCTTTATTTCAGGTGAATAGAATACAATAATAGAATAACCCAGAATAAATCAGAAAAGTTGATAGACATTAGGGGATATAATTCAATGTCTAATAATGAAAGCGAGAAGGTGATCTTTTCATATATACAGATGGCTTTACAACACCTCATCATTCCTGCAAGATCTTCTTACATAACGGTGTAGAATACATACAAAAGTGATGGGAGGAAAAAAATCATACTAAATGAATTCAGCTAGAAAAATTATAAAATTCCCAGCACTCCTCTGTCGTGCGCATGTGTAATTCCTATCATCTTAAAAAATACAATCTGATGAAGTCTTAAAGGCCGAAACGCGTCACAAGTAATTTTTTTCACATTGTCATGCAATTATATCGTTATCTCACACACAAACACACACACACACACACACACATATATATATATATATATATATATATATATATATATATATATATATATATATATATATATATATATATATATATATATATATATAACATAAAATAGTTAATGGTCAGAGCAGAATTAGATCAGTAAACAGTAGTGTTAAAAAAAGAGAAACAATTAACATGTTGCGATTTTAATTATAGAAATTTAGGAGATAATCCGATTCCGCTATCTTATTTTTTCTTAAAAAAAAAAGGAGTTACGATCAGAAGTCGTTATATAAGCTAGAAAGTTTTAGATATTCTATTAAACTAGTCAACCTTCTGTGGAAATTAAAGGAGAAAATTTAAAAAAATTGACCCGATCTTAAGCTGCAGACCTTTACAGTAATCATAGCAACATCTGCAACTTATGACAGCAAGACAAATTAGCTAAAATAATATTTCCAAACCAAAACGACCATTTGAATTAGAAATCGGAAATTATGACCCGTAGTACACATACTAAAAATTTTCTTTTGAGTTCATTTGAATGGATAAAAACAACGTATCCATATTACTTTTTATCCCCCATAGATACATTACCAATGCACTTGATTTTCTCAGCCCATCTACCTCCTCGACTTCTACCACACCTAACGTCTTGCGCTGATGCATTCTTTAATTTTTTTTAAAATAAAGCGTTAGGAAAGCAATTGACTGAAATCGCCTGAAGATACTGAAATGATGAATCCAATGTAGCGAAATCGGCTGATATCTCATTTTTCTATACTGCTAAATATATATATATATATATATATATATATATATATATATATATATATATATATAAGGCAGAGTTTAGATTAGTAGCAACGAGAGAAAACTGTGTATATTAAAAAGAAGAGAGAAACCGCAAACGTTTTTGGTTGTAATGTGATTTTTTTTTAAATATTATGCTTTATTTTCCATAATTTTGTTACACGTGTTTCCGGTCTCGCGACCGTCATCAGTCAAAGGGTGGAGATATCCACATATATTATTAAAAATAATTATTTGTTTTCCCTTTATGTTTATCGACGTTAAATATTCTCGATATTAAACATTATCTTTTTAGTGTTAGAGACCCAAATATCTTTCTTGAACTGGCAGTGAAAAGCTTCGCGTGAAGGGTTATAAAACAATTGAAATTGGTTCAAGAAATGATGGAGTAGTTATCGGCTTTCTTATCTTTTAATGACCCCTGTGTGTTCTTAGATCTATTTCCATTTTCGTGTTTTTGTCAGCATGCGTGTATATATGAGTATATCCCCTCTCCATACATAAACACTGTCTCACTATGAGGAATTAGTGAACACATTTGTACACACACACACACATATACACACACGTACACACACAAACACACACACATACCGTCTCATCAGAAGGGATCAGTACATACACGCACATACATACATACACATACTTCCCAAGTTACATGGAATCAGTATACACACATACATACACACATATATACGTACACACATACACACATACTTCCTAAGTTGTGTGGA